GAATAAACGAATTATTAAAACAAGAAGTTTAAGCATTAAATCCAGGCTATCAATCGAAAAATTTGATGATATAAAAAAAAAAATATTCCGTAATTCACAAAAGAAAAAATTTCACGTTCGCCTTAGTTCTGCCTTAAAAAATTAGCCTAACAACAACAAAAAAAACTATACTTTGATCGCAAATTTTTTTCCGGATCATCCCGCTGCAGCGATTCCTTTTCCGAAAGCGTCAATTCTCGATGAAATCTATTCAGCTCATCTGCAAAAAGAAAAGAACCAGTGACTTTGATTTTTCACAGACTCAAGCTTTTAGCTGTAAAAAGAGCTGTTAAGCTGACCTTGCGGTTTACGTCTTGAACGAATTCGCGTTCGTTCGGTGGTCAATAGGGGAGCTGTGGCCGGCACAGACTTTTTTCCGATCAGATCTGCCGAGAAGCCGGTGCCAATGCTGCTACTACTGCTTTGTAAATAACGTGCTTTTTCACTGGCAAATATCGAAGGAGCTTCCGGATCACGATTTATAATGTAATGATATTCATCAAGTGCTTCCTCAAACTTTCCTGCTCGCTGATCTTCAAAGGGAGGCTTTCATTAATTCTCTTCTAACCAGAAAAATTACAGTGCATTTTGCAGACTTCTCAAATAACTGAACTTAAAAATACTACTGTTAACGTAAAATATTGTAATTTAGAAGCAAAAAATAAAAAAAATCTGGCTCATAGCTCTTTTTTTCAAAAAAAGCTTTCAAAAATAAATCCTGAATTTAGGCGTTCGGGGTATCCATACAAAGAAAGGTAAACTTTGAGTTGAAATGTTAATGCATGGCAACCAAGAAAATCGTCTTTAACTAATAAAACTTTGCTTCTTTTTCCTCTGGAACCTAGAGAAAATGTCACGAATCTCGGGATCGCCAGCAGACTGTCCATCACACGAAGCAGCACTGATCAAAAAAAAAAAAACTGATAAAATAGTGAAAACTGCATAGGAAGTAAGACCTACTATGAGCAACAGACATTTCGGATTCACGATTTTTTGGTAAAAATGTCTCGGTGGCAAAAAAAGGTGATTTAAAAAAAAATTTCGATCCACTGAATAAGCAGCCTAGGAAAAAAAACCTCTGAATTTTCCGCTCAATCTTTGGAGCAAAAAA